CTTCAGGCCAATGTGTACATCTCCAGTAAGTMAGATGCATTCACTAATCAAAGTGTACACAGGACACTATGTTTGAAGAGTGTTTCCTGGGCCACTTTCTCCCTTCTGCCATATGCATTTGCAAATTATCTGATATGCCTGGATGAAGCAGATTAGCAAAGAATCTGGGCAAAAGCTATGCCCAATGACCAGACTGAGTCTGATCCAAGATGGCTACTATAGAAGGCCAATGGTAATATCCTTTGCATAAAATAATAATTTGTATCCTCACACATTGCATGGGTCTGAATGTATTCCCCMAAAATTCCTATGTTGAAACTTTAATTCAATTTGATAGCACTTGGAGATGGTATTTATGAGAGGTAATTAGGTCATGAGGTGGAGTCCTCAGGAATGGGATTAGTGCACTTATAAGTCAAAGCCAGAAAACTAGCTGGCTCTCTTTCTCCACGGCCTTGTGAGGATACAATGRGAAGCTGCCAATCYGCAGAAGGAGGCCCTCACCARAACCTGACCAYACTGGCACCCTGAATTCTGACTTCCAGCCACCAGGCTATGGGAGAAAATTTCTGTAGTTTCTAAGCCATCCAGTGTATGGTCCTTTGTTACATCAGCTCCAACTGACTAAGACAAGCATAAAGAGGGCTCACCTCAGCTTCATAACAGCAACAGGCTACTTGGATCCTCAACTTTCAGTCCCTTGTWCCTTTAAGTGTTGGTCTAAGTGCCAACTTCTCAATAAGATCAACAGTGACTAATTGGAATTGCAAAACCTTCTTCCTCCCACACTCCCAATTTTCTTAACCTGCCAGTTTTCTTCATTCAGATACTCTAGCCCTTTTGTGAGATGCCACATGGCTTACTGAATGACTCTGTATGTGTGTTAGTTGTTTGTTGTTCTACTTCCCTTCCTTTCCAACAACAACAACACACACAGGGAGATGCAATTGGAAAGGGCCATATCTTGTCTCTATTTACTAACTTACCAAACGTATTTAGGAGTTCCTGGCAAAGATGGAAGTAAAAAGTCACCCTGCATTGGTTCATGAATGAATCAATGACTCTGTGCTTAGAGCTGGAGAGTCCTCATTCAGTCCATACTCAGTGCATAACTCTGAAGCAACTACCATCTTTCCAGGCCTTGAGTTTCCTCATTAGAMAAATGGGGTACATGAGTCCCCACCTCTTAGGATCGTGGCGAAGATGAGTGAGGCAGTGCAAATCAAGTGCATGGAATCGTGCCTTGACGTGGTAAATTCACAGTAAGTGTTAGCTGCCATCATTACTGTTGTTCCGATTGATTACCCAAAGTGGTGATGATTTCCAGTCTCAGRCAACTGGCCTGTCACCTGGCAGCATGGATCTAAGATGAGGAAAAGGCCCATGGTAGAGCAGAGGACTACTAGGGGTCAAAACCCAGGGTTAAGGCTTCACCAGCTCCAATCCAACAATATTCAGGCCTTTGCAATGGAGCTGTTAACAGCGTAAGTGCTCCTGCCTCGGACCTGCTGAAGTAGCATAAACATAACACTGAAACCACTGAGTAAGTGATGGTGAGGCTCAGAAACCTTAAAAGGMAGGGAAGGCAGCTCCCTCTTCCTACTGGAACTGAGATTTGTTTATTTGGCTTAACTGGAGTCAGAACTAATGGTTCTAATGGCTTGGAATCCCCCAACTCATTCTCCAGATTTCTACACACGGACAGTAACTTATACTTTCTGAAAGATGATAAAGAAGAGAAAAAAAATGGCCCTCCATAAAAGAAATTACCAGAACATACTAATCATTTAGACATTCGCTTATATTTCTAGAAAGCTAAAGATCGAGAATGGTATGGTTCCTTCCAGGAGCAAAATCCAAGTCTGCTTAAAGTCCATAAGAGGGAAGACTGCTAGCTGGACCATTAATCTGCATGTTCACTAAGGATTTAGAAAAACAAAACACTTTGGAAATATCCTTTGTCTCCTTACAAATACCTTTGATCTAGGGGAAAGCCAATGTTTAGGGATCTATGAGTTAGGAAGGGAGYAGAGTCTCAGTGCAGACCATAGATGAGAAAGAGGGATGGCAGAAGGGGGAGGGATGCTTACTGATATTTTGCCAGTAAAAGTCTTAACTTCCCTATTAATTAGGACACATCTTTCCAWGGTTAAGTTGTCTCTAAGTGGACCATTAAAGCATTATGAGGGCCAAATGAAACAAATGAGGGCACATTCAAGGAAGAGATGATGAAAATCATGTCACAAAGCAATTTCTCCCTTCACTTTACAGAAGGCCTCAAGAGTTAAAGCTGGAATTAAATTCCACACTCCCAAGTTGACGCTCTGTCCTCTGCACAAGAACTTCCCAAAGCTGTAACCAGTACATGATAAATGATTGGGCAAGTCCAGAAGGAACCCAAGGTTCTCACTATGTGAGGCTGACTCTATTAACCCTTGAATTACACTGAAWTGGAAACTTCTACCCCATTGCACCTGCTCAGGTAAACCTCAAAAATAACTTTTTAAAAATGAAGGTATTTTCCAAGAGCAGAAGGAAGTAAGATTACTGATAAATACTTAGTTTAAAGTTCTAACAATTCAACAATATTTGTAGTATTCAAAGGGCATTTGCCTGGTGCTGTCAACTACTATTACTTAGTAAATTGTATTTAACTTACAGATTTTTGGAGTACACATGAACACCAATGTCATATAGTTAAGTAGACTCACTGCAGTCTATTAATAGGCATTCATTGATAATCTCCTCTTATGATTAAAATATGTCATGCTGAAATTGCACTAAATCTGGAAAATGATCTTAATTCTCAGTTTCCTTCTATAGTAGAAATACTGTGTCCACGGATTACTTTCACTTTAAAAAAAAAATAACATTTTAAATAAGAAAAATGGTACCAATCCACCAAATTCCAACAGGCTTATTTACATAAATTTTATCATGCCATAACACAACACAACAAAGTTGACTATACCCAATTATATATAACTTCACTTAGGAGCAGCCACAGGATGGGGGGTGGTGTGAAAGGGAAGAAAATGCGATTTACTTCTGCTTCTCTGTTCTTCCCTAGCCTGTCTATTGCAGAGGAATCTTGACACACTTGAAAGGAAGTGATGAAAACTATACACATTGTGCCTCTCCAGCCAAAACTCACAGTTACATCCCAAAGCCTCCAATTGGTCCCCTCCAATCAGCTGAGCATCAGAGGTTTTTCCTATAAAAAGTCYACAGTGCATCTAAATCTGATCCCAGTAAAATTTGACTTCAGCTGAAGTGAAAATGCAGAGGTAGCATTTACGGGTAACAGCTGGGGAACATTAGTTCCCTGTCTCTCCTTTTCTCTCCCAAGGGTTGAAAACTCTGCTGTTCAGACAGGAAGTCGTCATATACCACACACTGCACAATACGAGAAAGCAGGGAGGGAAGAACAAGTTGCTGAGGATTAGGAGGGCGGTGGAGGGGTTTTGTTCAGTAGTGACTCTAGATTCTTCTTGGGCTGCCCTTTTCTCTGAGCGTYCAAGTAACATACTGTGTGCACACCCAGATTGACAAGAACACACTACAATGACTATAAGTTTTTTCCCCCTTSAGAACTTAGAAGGCTTAATACTACATTTTTCCAAACATTTTAAAATATTGTTTCAAAGACAATTTGGGGAGTGGCCAAGATTCTCCAATAATCTTTTCTGGCATACTTTCATATTTACTATGGAAAAAGACAATCTTTGACTTAAAAGAAAATACTAAAATTGTTTTAAAAATAAATKCCCAGAATAAGGTTGGATGCATATAAGTGTATGTACATACACACATATATGTACACACACATATACGTACGTATTCATATATATGGAATTCTAAACATGACGATCTGGAAAAGAATGATTTATACCAGAGGTTCGTGTAGATGTAGGGTTTTTAAGGCCGGCCCTGCTTTAACTTCACAAAGCTGTGAAGAAATGAAACAGATAGGAGCAGGAGGAGAGACACCCACATTATGTGGCCTCAGCTCCAGTCTTTGAACAGGATGATAAGAGTTTCCTTCGCACCACATGCTGAATAGCTGTTCTGCATTCCTACCAGTCTGCAAGCTCTGGCCCCTCCTTTGAAACCGCCTGTCCTCTGGGGCGGGTTGTAAAACCGACCCAGTCTCTTCCACTCCACTCCAGCCAAGTTCGCTAGATACAAGCCTTAACTTTTGAACTGCAGAAAATGCCTTTGCCTTTTGCGAATCGGGGGCATGCTGTTAATCAACAGGGTTAAAACACTATGGTTTTATGCAAAGAGGGGGAGGAGGAACGAGGGAGAAGCCAACCCACACATCCATCACCCTTTTAGAAGTAGGCGGAGTTTAAAGTTTCCCCAACTTCCAAGTTCCCACTTGACAGGCAATATTTCTGTGTAACTTCCAGCCCCACAAAACAGATGGTCCTTTGCCCGTCTCGAGCCCCAAGAGAACCCAAAACAAAGCTCCTGGCCACTCCATGCCTCGCGGGATCCATAGGTGGTTAATTTCACGAGGCTGTCAGCCCAGGGCAGTTAGCAAAGAATGGAAGCTTAACTTATTCCAGAAGTTTTTCCTGCTACAGGAAAGTCCAGGGGACTGGAGCACAAAGGCCTGGGAAAGTYTCACTACATTATTTTTCAACAACGTCTTCCGCCATCTGACAAACCACCATCCTAAGCCCCAGGTGTCCTGGGGAGGAGAGTGGAGACACACGTGTTCATCAACACAGCAGAGGGGCGACTCCAGCAGTCCCAGAGACAAACCTGGGAAGTTCCTTACGGGAACCCCCCACCCCCGCCTTGGTGGAAAGGAGCCCCTGGGTTAGAGACCCACTCATTGATCACTCAGTACCAACGGGAAAGGTGATGGCCCAGACGTCGTGCCAAATGGGGATGCGCCACGGCAGCGAGCAGAGCCTTCCTTCCCAGCTGGGAGGGAGAGAGGAAGGAGCGGGGGACCGCTCCGGGAGTCTGAAGACAGGCGGCCCACTCACCCTCACTGCCGTACTGTTTGCCATTGTTCGCGCCCATCCTGTCGCCGTCATGCCCGCCGTCTCCCCGGACACTGCATAGCTGGGCGCACCTCCTGCGCCTTGGGCCAGAGGAAAGCCTGTCCGACGGACCGTTAGCTGCACATCGCCCCTCGCTCCGGGGCCGATCTCCGGCGGGGGGCGGCTCCTGGTCTCCGGAGGGAGGGGGCGCTCGGTCCCCTCCGGGCACCCTGATTGTGGCGGACCCGGCCGGCGACAGCCTCCTCCCCTCCTAGAATCCGCGCTCGGGGCCGGCGGGAGCAGAGTCGCCGAGAGCCCGCGCCCCGGGGCCGCCCCAAGGCTCGCCGCGCCGCCGCCGCGGGGTCCCCATGCGCCCGCCCCGATCCCCTGCGAGGAGCGCTGAGCCGCGCGGGCGCCCTGACTCCCCGGCTCCGCAGCCTCCTTCGGGCGCCCCTGCTCGCCCGCGGCTTCCCGGGGGAGGGCGCGGCGGCCACTTGTTGCGGGAGCCCCGAGTGAGCGGAGACTTGCGGCCCGGCGCTGCTCGCCAGCGGGCCGGACTTTTGTTAGCGCCAGGCGCCTCCTCTCGCCGCCCAGCGTCAATCACAGCTGGAGCCCCGGGGAGGAAGGCCGGCCCGGAGATGCGCGGCCTTTTAAAGAAACAGCGCGCCTTTTCGCGGCTCCAGCCCGGGGCCCCAGCGTTGGCGCCGGTTCTGCGCACCACCCGCGAACCATTTGGAGCGGAGGAACGTGCTGCTGGCTCKGGCTTACTATTGTTCTTTTATAGGCTTGGCCCCCAATCTGTAAGATGAGTTTCCAGCCGTCGTTCTAAATACCCTGGGATTGTTTGCAAATATGGCCTATTTTAGGTGCGTGAGTATTTGAAATAAACATGATCAGTATCTGATTCTGACACATTTCAGGTGTATACGTTGGCATTCTGCCGCGACTCCCCAAGTTTGGGGACTAAGGCGAGAAGTGGAGCAAAAGGTGGGAAAACTTGAGAGGAACTTAGTAGGCAGTGAGTCCCTGAACACAGATAGTACCCGTCCTGGAGAAGGAGGTTTCCTGGCTGAGAACTTTTAAGAGCTTCTGAGCCAGGAAGTGTATTTTTCCTCCTCCTTCTATGACTTTTTCTTTTCTTGCTTTCTTGTGACTGGGGTTATCTTTTGTTTAATATCTTAGAACTTCTTTTGGAGATTTATAGGGCACGTGTACACCGTTAAAATGGTTCTTTGGTGTTCTCTCTATTAAACAGGAAAAAAGGAAATTCTTAATGATTTATTCCCTTTCCAAGTAAATACCTAGATTTTGTAACATTACATCTCAGTAAAGACGAGGGTATTCATTGCACAAATTTCTTTGTAGGGAGGCAGCACATAGCAAGTTTCTACTTTCAGGTGTTGGATGTTGTAAATTAAATTAAACGTACATAATAATGCCTGTGTATATCACATATGGTACTTCAGCAAAAAATCAAGAGTTTTGTAATTATGAATTTCGTTAAGAGACTTGCAACCACATGCAGAAATTTTAATGATTTGACTTCCTATAAATTTTATACGGGATAAGTTCCTTTAATTTGCTACCACTATCTTTCTTTTTTAAAAAATACATGACAATAGTGGAATGCATTACACTCATTATTACCCATATACAGCACAATTTTTCATAACTCTGTATATAGAGTATGTTTACACCAGAGACAAGATAAAATTTGATTTAAAATTTAAAAATCTACATTAATTATAAAAGAGGTATCCCGTGTTGAAAGAAAAATAACAAATTTTCTATTCTCAAAGATAAGATAAATCCTTTGTTATTGTACTGACGACATTTCTATGGTCCTAGTCCAAAACATGATGTCTATATTTTAATTCACCTTGTAACAACTAGTATCTAGCACTCCTGGGGCAATAAGCTGTGTTTCCCAAATGTCTGTTTAATTAAATTTAAAAATTGTATGATAGGCTCTAAATAAGATAAGTTATMAAAAAAATCAGAATACTTCACTTAGATATATTCCCTGCTTGTATAATTATATCAAAATGGATTCTGCTGTCATATATAACTAAAAAGACCTAATAGATTTCAAAACAAAACAAAACAAAAAGGAATAGTAAATGAGTTTTCAGAGTTTCTTCCTTAAAATCTGATCTACAATGAAGCTAACATGAACTTGATCTCCATGCACAAGCAGATTGCCACCTGAGCCTAGTGATTTTGTCAGCCTTTGGAGAACTACCCTGGATTGTATCATTCTGGAAGCTTAGTTGAAGATAAACTTGCTGTGAAGTAGAGTAAAAGTCATCTTCATGTTTGATGGAGAGTTGACAACTTGCTTTTTTATAGACTGTTCTCTCCCTGATGCCTTCTTTTGAGGTGCCCAATCGGGAAACCTAGAAGAGAAAAAACCAAAGCCTGAAGCTCAAAGAACTTCAGGGTGTGACTCAGGTTTTCAGGTTCTCTCCTCACTCCACAGTCTGTTCTCTCTCTCTTTCTCTTTCTTCCCCACCCTCCTTCATAATGGGGATGGAAACCAAGGTGGGTCCTCTACCTCTGAGCTACATTCCCAGCCACAGTGTCTGCTGACCTGGCTATTATTTGAGTCACTGTCCTCCCTTTTTGGTTGGATCAGCTTTCAGGATCTTTAATATTAAAGTAAAGCTAATGGTGAAAAGCAAATTGTAGTGACCAACAACATTTATCTTCTTTGAAATTAAAGTCTGATAAATATTGTTCAAGATTTTGTTGCTTGCAGCAATGGGAACAGGGATAACTCAGTTCATGAAACCCAAATTAAGATAAAATAGAAAAAAAAAACACTTTACATTTTAAACTCAGTCTGATTATAGAAGTTGATATAAATGTATGTTGACCCCAGTCACTGTAAAAGCTTGGGGGAGAAAAAAAAAACAGTTAAGCAAAAAGAAACAAAAGCACTAATCCTGATAATAATAAAGGTACATTCATATGTGTATATATTTTAATATTCAAAATTAAATGGATAAGTATACGATTTTAATCTAAAATTTTAATCCTTTTACCTAGCTTCCAAACCTAGCCTCTGAAATCTCAATACCAATTTGCAAGCTTCTTGAGTCAAGGGTGGTGTGCTTTTCACCAATATATTCCCAATATTGAGTACAGTTCCTAATGCAAAGCAGTCACACTGTACTCGMAAAATGAATGTTGAGCAAAGAGATAAAAATGATCTGAATGTTATTGCACATCCTCTGCCTAGGCTTATTTTTTAAAGGGTAAGGATCTGTTAAAATTGTTTTTAGGTAAGGATCTGTTATGGTTTAGATATGAGGTGTCTCCCCAAAAAGTTCATATGGCAAGTAGGAATGTTCAGAGGTGAACTGATCAGATAATGAAAACTGTGACCTAATTAGGGGATTAATCCATTTGATGGACTAATRGTCTGAATGAAGTCTACTGAGTRGYGWCTGTGGGCAAGGACAGTGTGACTGGAGGAAGTTTCTCTCTGAGGGCTTATGCCCTTAGGGATTCTGTTTCATCCTTATCTCTTATCACTCTCTGTTTCCTGGGCACCCAGCATTCTCACGGTGTGTGCCACAACAAGGAGGCACCTCACCTTGGATGACAAGTTGGAAAACCTGGGATCCTGGCAGTTACAAGAAGTCTTTCCTCCTTCCCCTGCTAGAACATTGTTAGAGATATTTGAACAGAAGTTTTAAATCAGATCAAGAGTCTCATAACACAATATGAAAATGTCCAGGTTTCCATCAAAAATCATTCATCATACCAAGAAGCAGAAAGATTCCAAACTATAGATTAAAAAAAAAAAAAAAGATGATCAACAGATCAACTCAAAACAACCCTCAGACAACGATTTTAAAGCAGCCATGAAAAAAACTCCTCCGTGAGCAGCCACAAACACACCGGTAACAATGAAAGACTAGAAAGCATCAGCAAAGAAATAGAACATATGAAGGAGCAGCAAGTGGAAATTTTACCACTGAGAGATACCACTGAGGTGACAAATAAACCATTGAGTGGGCTGAAAATCAGAATAGAGCAGACAGAGAAGAGAATCCATGAGCCAGAGTTCTATCAGAGAACAAAAAATACTGTGCATTCTGAACAAGGAGAATGTAGACTGAAAAATATAAATAGAGACTTAGGGACATATGGAAGTATAATAATGCATCTAATATCTGTGTCTTCAGAGGTCCCAAAGGAGACGAGAGCAAGGGAAGAGCTGAGAAGTACCTAAAGAAGTAATGGTTAACCTCCTAAACTCTTGAAATGACAATGGTAGAAGTGTTGTCATGGATCTGTGGCTGCCAACAGTTACAGTGGGGTGGGCAGTGAGTGTGGTTGTGGATGGCACGGTGAGCGTCTTTGTGGTGATGTAAACGTTCTCTCTTGACCTCATCAATGCCCATCTCCTGGTTGTGATATTGTACAACAGAATTGCAAGGTATTCTCACCTTTGGGGGAAACGGGGAAATGGGTAAATGAAATCCCTCCACATTATTTCTTACATGCACTTGTGATTGACAGTTATCTCAAAGCAAAGCATTTTATTTGAAACTAGAAGCCTTGTCCTCGCCTTTAGAACCATTTCTACTTCTGCCCACTGCACTGCCACTCCTATTTCCACTTCACACGCCACACTCGCCCTGGAAAAGCAAAAGTCTTATGATAATGATTTCTTAGTGTCAACCTGATTTATATGTGGATCTATTCATACTCAAAGTTTTGAACCTTGAGTTGTCAGGGCTGACAAAATCTACTTATGAAAGGAACTGATCAGTAACTAAATCACCCATTTACTTTGACATGTGAGAAACTCATTCAAAAAAGAAAAACATCAAGGAAGAAAAAAATGTACATTTTAATTGATATCTACACTTTCATTTATATGTCTCAGTGGCTACTTTAATAAACATGTCAACACTCTAGTAGAAAGGTGTTCTTTTCCAGGGGTACTTTTATTTTTAGAATATTGAATTCAAAAGCCAACTTGATTTATACCATATTAGGCCTACATTTTCTCTAGAGGTGGAGCCCCTGGGCTTCAGGTTAATCCTATACACTTTGGGCTGTTGATGGACTTGCTGTCAGAGCTGCATTAATGAGGTTATAATCCCAAGGCTGGTCAGTGCACCTCCTCTGTTCATCTGGTCCCTGGATACCAGGAGTGTAAAGGACCACATCATTAACCACAGGCTTCCTGGGAATACAGTAGACAAAATAAACTCTTCTGAAATCCATGTTGGGGGAATTTTCTGAGTAATCTTCATTCTGCTTTCCAGAATGAAATCCCTGATTTTAAAATCCAATGATCATAAGAAATATTAGCTTATAAAAAGGGGGAAAATGAAACAGAGTTGTGAAATATGAACTTCTACTTTAGTTTGTTCACATTTATTTTGATATTTTTCCCTCTTGAGGACTCTGGGTTGCCTTCAAAAGTCAGAATCACCTTGTTTTCTCTACTTATATGTCAGGACATAGTTAGATTTGCATATTCTGTTACTATAC